AGATAATTTGGCGTAACACTTGCTGCTTCTAAATTATAGAGTATGAGCAAATGCTTTTTTTTTTTTTTTTTTAAAAAAAATCTTTGCAAAGTTCATCTGGATTAGAATACATCTTTCAAGGAGCAAAAAACTGAAATAAATATTTTAAGGAAATAACTTTTTTTTTTTTTGGTCAAAGGAAATAACATTAGCTACAACAAGTACCTCCGCAATTGAAGCAGCATTAATGGCATTCGCTAACTCTAGTTCTTTGTCATCAACCTGTCTCAGTACACTTTGTGTCATCTCCTTACTTTCTGGCTTTAGCAATTCCACAAACTGTAAAGCTTCTTGCAATTCTCTCTTCAACTTAACCCATTCATTCTTACAAACATAAAAAGATACCAATCAGTAGCCACTTAAGTACTTTAATCTCCTAAATAATTTTCAAAGGGCTTGTAATATCTTATTAAAACTGACCACATAAATACTTTAAATCATTTGGAGAGGAGATTAGTAGAATGACAGATAGTAACGCTGGAATCCTCAAATTTAAGAGTAGTGCACAAATAAATTCAGCATACCGCCTTGTTAATCTTAATATTGTGAAATTTTAAAATCAGAAATGAAAGAATCCTGCAATACGATTCCTTATAAATTTATCCCAAAAAAAAAAAAGATATGCTCGCGCACACTCAAGAGACACACAGACACCCATAATATAGTATAATATAATATTGAGCTGAGGGATCAAGACAAGCCAAAACCTCAGCAACATCAGCTCTAGCCGAAGCGTACTCAACATCTTTTTGAGCCTCAGCTAATCGTTGACTCATCCTTTCAATTTTTCTCCTGGCCATTTGTGCTTCTTCTTCTTTTTCTTCTTTAAGCCTTTGCATAAGCTTTCTCTGTTCCTCCAGCAGCCTCCTCAGTTTAGCACATTCACTCTGTAAAGTTATCAACAGCACCAACTATAAGGAAGTGATAGAGTTCAAGTATCACATTCAGTTCAGATGGAAAAGCAAGATACAACTTTCATAATTATCTATGTTTCTTCACAAATTACAAGCAAGGGAGGAACTAATTCCACCGTGAAAGAAGCATAAAATTAGAGTTTCTTCACAGAACAATATAAGAACCCCCGCCCAAAAGTGGGGAAAATCTTATAACAAAATCAAATTAAAAAGTACTGACGACTACAGCACCAAGAACATATTCATAAAATAAAAGGAGCACCAAGAAATACCTCAGCAGCTGCAGCAGCATTAAGGGCATTGACGAATTCTACAGCCATCTCTTTAACTTGTCTCATCCAATGGAACTTATCTTGTCTCCTGAAATTCCAGCTTTGGTAATTCGATTGGCTTTTTCACTTCTTGCAACTTCACCCTTGACTTAATCTACTCATCCGAAAATGATGCAAAGGTAAAGCCAATGTCCTTGTGTGAAATGAGGGCAAAGATCCATAGAACTCGATTTGGGTATCTACATAAAGATCACGTAACAATAGTGACAAGAGAATCAATTGCACAAACACCACAAGGGGTGAAAACAGCTTGTGTTGATCAGTCTCATCAATCCTCACATGTTTCAATTTCAGAGCGCATCAAGCAAGTAATGCAGCAGAAATATTATAAACTATTGAATATACATGAGAAAATACTCACGACAACTCTTTAACTGCAGTTTTGCCGTTTCTACCACTCTTTCGTCTTGCCTGCTTAAAAGCTTTTAACTCTTCAGTCAGTGGAAAGTTTAGAGTGGGTGAGGCCTTCTATTTTTTCTGGTCCAGAAATTGATGAAGCATCATCAGTAGCAATAGAGACAGAAGAAAGTGAAAAATCAGAAATAGCAACCATCAGTAACTTATAAAAAGAAAGGGGCATCTGGTAGTAAAAAAACAAAAAGGAAAAAAGGCGAATAAAGAACATAAGGAAGGGGAGGAAAGAAGTCGTCGTGTTAACGTTCTGAGTAAGGAACCTCTCGTCATTTGCCCTTTAATAAAAAAAAAGAATTAAGTGAAATCATTTGGTACGGAAGATTCCTTAATCTTGATTATGTTGTAACGAAAATTACGAATGAGTCCTTCAAGAATTTATTTTTAAATAAATCTTATAAATTTGTAAAATATTTGGGATTTGATTGTAATTATTTTTTTCCAACGATTGTAATTAATTTCTCTAAGAAAATATGTTTATAAAAAAATTAGCCAAAAACAATTAATAAAAGAGAGAGAAGAGTAATAAAAAAAAAAAAAAAAAACAGAGAAGAAAATAAAATAGATTATATATGGAGTGCAAAAGTGATGAGAGAGAGAGATGTGTGCATGTCTCCTAAATGTAATTCTCACCGCCTTTTGTAATTAAGGTAATATTCCTTCGATCTTTAATATAAGATCCATTTAACTAATTTGATTAGATTAATAAAGTTAGTAAGTTAGTTAATTATAAAAAAGTGACACATTTTTTCCAAAATACCATAATCATCTTTCTTAATACCGCCTCTCCCTCTTCTACTTGATTATGAGTGAGAGAGTATCTGTAGGGATAATTAGAGAAAATTGATAAATATGAGAAATGGATCTTATATTTAGGATCAAAATCAACTCAAGAATTGAGTCCTATATTAAGGACAGGAGGAATATATACAATCAATAGAAAAAAAAATGCATGTGTTGAGGATAAAAAAAAAATTATTAAATAATTAGACAAAATTAAAATATAATGTATTTTATATTTTGAACCGGCCGGAGAGTAAGTAACACAAATAACTCTCCACTTGATTGACATTAATTGACTACCTCACCCATTGACCAGTTATCGGCTATTTTTTTACCAATACAAATAAAAATTTTAAAAAACTAAATATTAATATTTTAATATTTATAAATCAGACATCACAGGTTTATAACTAAATTTTTAACATTTACAAGTCCAGTATTATAAATTTACAAGTCAAATTTCTTAAATTCACAGTTAAATCTCTAAAATTAATATTTAGAGGTCAGCTTCATAGATTAACAAGTCAACCTCATAGATTTACAAGTTAATTTGCATAAATTTTGTGTTGGCTCCTCAAATTTTATGAATTCATTTACAGGTTAATTTCTTAATTTTACAAATCATCCTTCTAAATTCACAAGTGAACCTAAGATTCCTTACCTGACTAAGTTATAAAATTTGAAGTTTGGTTCATAAATTTAAATTCATTCAATTTGTAAAATTGGAAATCAAAAAATTAGGTAAATTTACTTGTAAATTTAGAGGGTTGACTCGTTAATCTAAAATATTGACTTATAAATATTAAAGTATTAATATTGTAACAGACAAAACTTAAATTTAATTGCTTAGTTCTTCCATTATACTTGTTATTTACTATTTAGCAAGTACTAGTTGTCACAATATATACGTGCACTTATAAATTTACCTATAAACACTTGTAAACTTTTGAATTAGTTGTTATAATATAGAGTTAAAGTGTAATTTTAACAATAAAATTAATCCTAATATGTATTGGGCATTATAAAGTTTATTAGGACAAAAATATACATGAGTTGTTAAAAGGGAGCATCTGGTACTATACCGTCAACATCTGTTAGTTTTGTCAGTGGGGCCCACGAAATCATATTTAAGGTGCATTTTTAACAAATTTTTTTTATCAAATGGCATTGGGCACCACAAAATTTATTTAGGTATAAAAATACATACACATGAACTTTACAAGGAGAAGATAACAAAATTCATCAACTTTCATTAGCGTCAGTTAACTTCATTCTTTTATGTCCTACCAAAGATTTCTTTTTCTCTCCACTCATCCTCACTTCCTCTCCTCCTTAGTATAATGGACTAATTTTAAAAAAATTAAAGAACTGAAACAATTACTTAATTAAACATATATTGTATGATCTCTCTAAAATATTTATATGTATTACTAGATTATATATTAGTTATAAGCTAAGCAAATTAATTAAAAGAAAAGTGATAAATATAATACTTTAAAATAATTTATTTGATCTTTTTAAATTAGTTAATTGTGTTCTGTACTAAGGACCAGAGGTAGCTTAAGTGCTAGCAACAAGCCTCTTATCCTAAAAGAGAAAGACGTTGTCTTGTGTAAATATATATAAAAAGTTTGGAGGCTAAAAAATATGACATGAGACGGAGAGAGTATGCATGGATTATGATGAAAAAAGATGGATGGACTTGAAAATAAAAATGGATGAAGAGAAAATGTGACATTCGGTAGGAGCTAAAAAAATAAAGTTAACTGATATTTATGGGAGTGATAAATTTTGCTATTTTTTTCCTGTTAGAAAGTTTATGTATATTTTTACATCTAAATAAATTTTATGATGCCTAGTATCCCTTGATGTAATTTTATTGTTAAAAATACATCTTAAAACTAACTTAATAGGCCCCATTAACAGTAAACTAATAGACGTAACGGCGTGAGATCAAATGTCTCCTTTTGACTATGTCATATATTTTTGCATTCAAATAAGTTTTATAATACCCAATGCTCCTTAAGACAAACTTTATTGTTAAAAATTGTATGTTAACCCTATATAAATTAGGATTTGTAAATTTTGATATGAACACTATTTGTGTTATTTGTTATTGCTACTTGTTAAAATGTGTATACACATTTATAAATTCACCTATGAAATTGACCTAGTAAATATAAACAACTTGACTTAAATTTTATCCTATTGCAAAATGTTTATTTGTAAATAAAATAAGATTGTTTACAAGTAAATTTGCAACTTTGAATTGTAAATATTAAAGTGTTAATATTTTAATAAAAATTATTTTTAAAAAACAGTTCATTTTTTGACTGACTGGCACCTGTCAACATCGGTCAAAGGCAAAGGTCACAGAGACTTCTTACACATTGAAGTTATTACATTACAACCGAAATCTCAAAGAGCTGAAAGTATTTTGTCGAATTTAAAGAACTTATTGTAGTATAAATCTCTATTTGTAAATAAATCTCTTATTTGTTAGGATAATTAATGTGAAGTTTTTTTTTTTCCTATTAAATATAGGAGAGAGAGAGAAAAAAATGAGAGAAAATAAAGTGTACATTAATTAAAGACAATTTTATCATTTTTTTTAGGAAAAATAGAGAAAAATTTTGTCATCTTAACACACATTTAATGACTAAACTTCTATTTATTGGTATGTGAGAAAAGCTAATTAACTTCTTACATCATAGATAAGAGGGGATATCTTTTAAAAAATGGTGATCATATTATTATTATTTTTCGAGATTAATTGGATCCCCATCTAGTTTTCCTCAGATTTCTTGATAAAAAAAAAATGAAGTTATTATTAAAATATCTTATAAAAAAAAAGTAACATAACTAGGTGATAAAGTAATTAAAATTTGTGGAGTACATTGATTTTTCTTATTTTCTTTTTGTCAAAAACAAATCGTATATTGATGAGCTTTACGCATCTAACCATCTTTCTATCGTTTTTTTTTTTTTTGGTTTTTTTAGGTAAAAGAGGGGGCCAAACCAAACCCCAACAGTGAGTGAAAACTCAAAGCAATAAAAGAAACTAAAAAAAAACAAAAAAGCAAAAGCAAAACGAAACTAGAAATTGTTTGGCAGCTTCAACCTTAGCCTTCTGCTACCAATAAGAGTTGGTCTAGTTGATAAGAAGTTAGCTCATAACTCACAAGATAGCGAGTTGGAATTCTACTGCCGATGTAAGAACTTATTGGTGGGCGATCTATAAGTACCTTTGTAAGTGCTCTCTGAACCTGGAGATATGTTTTGATCTTAGTGAGCCCTCGAACCCCAACTCACCTAAACTTTCTTTGTAGCCAAAAAAAAAAAAAAAAAACCCTTAGCTGTCTACCTATAAGTGTCTTTCTCCGCCTTAAAAATATCAGCCACTCTTGGGTGAGCCTCCGAGAGGACTCTTCTTTCTAAACCATCTCCCGGATCTGATCACTAATCACCTGTGGTATTTCATCCTCGTAACATTCCAAAGGCAAATCGGAAAATCTTACCCAAACCACCACTTCTATCAACTCTTCGGTCATTAGATTGAAGTTAGCTCTCCACTCTCTTATAACAAGATAGTAATTAGCAATTAACCAAGGCCATTACAGATTGCCCTATTATAATCCTCTTAGCTTGAAAACTTATTACCAAAAATTCATTGCGAAGGTCAATTACCGAGATGGATCCATTCTCCCCCCATAGCGTCTACAATTTCAGCTCTAGATTTCTCAAACTCATCGACCATCCAAGCAATTTCATAATCAAGCTTTTCTTGGACACCTTTCTCATCTTCCTTTTCCCCCATTCAGAGATGATCAGCTCTGGGATCAATGGATTTCCTTTCTCATGATGGTTGATTGTGATTCCCAACCCTTTCTCCTCCTCAATTCCCTCCATTTCTTCCTCTTCTGAAATGCCCTTCACTCGATTCACATAAGAACCAGCTTGTCCTGATCCCAATCCTTCCTCACCAGGTCCTAATAACGAGCTTTGCATTTTCTGCTTTGTTCTCTGCAGAAGGTTAGACAGATCAGCTGCATCCGTTCCTCCTAGCTCTAGGAATTCCATAGAGGGAGTGCCTTCAAGCTCATCGTGTTTCAATTCTGAACTGCTCCTCGTACTTAATATAAAAACCTAATTATTAAATTAATTTTGATCCTAAATACTATTTCCAATCCTAAATATAAAAACTAGTTGACTAATTTGAGGAGATTAAGAAAATAAATTAAGTTAGTTATTTGTTATATATAGGTGTTATATTTCCTAAAATATCCTTATTAATCAAGTGTGTTACCTAGAACTACTATTATTAAGATGATTATCTTAGAAAAAAATGTATAAATATGAGAGATAAAGTGGATTGAAGTTTTATATTTAGGATCAAAATAAAAGTCAGATAAGGTCTTATATTAAGGATTGAAGGTAATATAAGATATATTTTTATATTTATCAATTTTTTCTAAATTACCTCTATAAATATTCTTTCAATCATAATCAAGTAAGTGAGGGAAGGAGGATATTAAGAAAGATGATTATGATATTTTAGAAAAAATATGTTATATTTTTTATAATTAATTAAGTTACCTAACTTTCTTAATCTAATCAAATTAGTTAAATAGATATTATATTAAGAACTGGAAGAGTATATAATGTTGGATCCAGTTTTGGTCATCAAGTGATGAGCGCTGAGCACTTGATGATTAATCTCTGGACGGATTTAATATTTTTAAATTATTATTTTAAAATAAAAAATTATTTTTTTAAAGAATAATAATTAAGAGATTATCTTTATTTTTTAATTTTATACCTATTAAAATAATTATTTTAAAAAATTAAAATTAAAATTAAATCTCCAAATCTGATGAGTGTTTGGTGCTCATCAGTCTTGGTAAGCACCCAAACTCATTCCATATATGTTAAAGGGAAAAAGCTCTAATAAAACATATATCTTTCTATCTTTTCGTATTCTTGTGTCTGTAGCAACAGTTTTATTGGTCCATTTCAAACGCTCATATCATCAATAACCACGGCAATAATTGTTAATTACGTAGGCTAATTATTAATTAATTCAGTCCATGTTATTGTTGTTCGAGCATTTAGTGTATCGTCTTCATATATATATTATATATACATTTTTTTTTGTGGATAAAATGACCATTTATTGAAAAAGAGTTATATATAACCAAATATTTATAACCCAAGGGTTTCGTAAAAAGGAGCTAATCCCTAATCCCTCGTAATATTACGAACCAAAATTTGAATATTTACTTAAAAAATGCTCCGTATACCAAATAGGATTGTCTTTAATTTTGAAAGAGATGCATACGACCAAACCCTGTAGAAAAAGACCATGCCAATCTTCCAGCTTCGTCTTGAGGAAACTTGGCCCAAAGCCACAAGAGCACGTTGGAAAAAAGGAGCGACCACAAGCCTCCCATTCACAATGAAAAGTGAAGAGTGAAGGTCGCCAGATTACGCCACTATGGAGCGAAGCTCGCAAGGCAAATATATACCAATAGCAGCACTGAAAAGGACCTCTCGCCGAAAAGATCAGAGGATAAGGATGCATGCAAGTCTGCATGAAAGAGAGACCGACCAACGAAACATGCAAGGTGTAGCGAGCTCGGTTTCCAGGCTAGTAAACTAGTAAAAGCAAAAAGATAAGCATAACAGAATGGCCATTTATGCTTTATATATCCTGACATTTAATAATTTATTAAAATTAATTTAGGGTTTTCAAATTTCTCTAATAAATTATATTTATGCTTTATTGACCCCAATGGTTTAATTATCTAATTAATTTTAAAAAGCTCACCAACCAAAGCGTTGAGTCATTAGAAATCACTGAACGGCCATTGCAGTTACAATAAGTGGTGGGAAATTCAAAGTACTCTGTATGATCCAATTTAATTACTGAGGATAAGATTTAACGCATATTTTACTTTCATAATCATGCAGTGTAAAATGATCATCCCTATCATGTCTACGGTCCAATCAATAAAATGAGATAATGGAACAATGAGTTTTATTTATAATATATTTTATCTAAACAATTAATTATTTGCTTAACTACAATATTTTATAATATTATTCTTCTGGATGTGGATAACAAGTTTTATGTTTTCTTTTCAGACATGATTTTTTTAAAATAATGATCCAAATGGATTTTTTTTAAATTTTTTCCCAAAACATCTTTTAAAAAACAATTTTACAAAATTTTTCTGAGGAAAAAAAACATAAACAAACATGCCCTATAGTTGGCTTAACTTGCTACATTCCATTACATTAATACATACATGTTCCTTTGGGATCATCCAAAGTCTTCAAGAACCTAATGGTTGCAGACATACAAGAAGCAAAAGAAATAAAGTCGCATGGGGTGATTCAATTTGAGGGCATGTTTGTTCACAACCAAAAAAATAAGTTTTAATTCCATTATTTGCACTCATCATCTGTTGGCTTTTATCCTTCTGATCCGAAATAGCTACTTATCATCATGGTTACTCTTAACAATTTGCATCAATGAATTTCTTTTTCTATTCTTTCATAGCTATGCCCTTTTATTCCATTATAACAATGACTCGATTCATTTGAGAATTATAGAAGCCTTATTTGTAAAATTTGGAGATTAATATTATTGTAGTATGTGCATGTTGCTTTACTTCATTGGTTTTTAAGCATCAATTGAGACCACATTCAAGTTAAAACCCACAAGAGTCACAAAGGGGTGTCAAATGTCTACATCTTGAGCAAATCATATATGATAATAAAATGAAAGAAATATGCTAAAATGACTCAAGTCACCAAATCCGATACTATCAAATTATAGCTATGTACATATGAGGCATCAGTGATGTTTTCTTATTATGTACTTTAATTTGTAACTCTTATTTCACGAAAAGTGTATGTAACAAAGAAATTAGTTCGCGTCATTGATCAAAGTTGGCAAATTGATTAAGAAACGTATAAATTGGAAGTTGTTTATTGCAGTAAAGAATATGTACTTTTGTTTTTTGGCATCTTCCAGTGCAATGCACGAGATAATCCACGATCAATCATGCCATGGCTAAAAAATGTGCATCAACATTTTGCATCCAATGCCTAAGAACTCTAGATTAGCACAATATGATAATTGTTGGCTTATACATAATAAATTTAAAGTTCACGCAATATTAAATAAACTTAATTTAAATAAATGGAAAAAAAACAAGAACTCTAGGTTTCCAAGCTTTCTGTGTAACGCACAGGGTAGCACACACTAGTTTAGAAAAAGGAGAAAGAACATAAATCCATCCACATTGCATCATCTTCAAAGCACGCTGGAATGAAAACTACCGATACAGTAGTGATGCACCCACATAATTAATAGCAAAATAAGGAGAATGAAAGAGAATGAATGAAACAGAGAAGTTGGATCTGAACAACCAAACATACCCCTAGTCATCCAGGAAACAGTTTGATGCGGTGGGTTATGTCCTCCCGACATATAGGACATGTGGAAAGCTCCGCCCCACATTCTTCACAGGTCTGCATTAGAATCACATATAACTCATCATTCTCATTACGCAAAGGGAAAAGGCAATGAAACCATTCTGGTAGAATTATTTACCATGTGTCCACATCCAAAGGCCATGTCCTTTACATTGGTCAGACAAATTACACAATCCTGCACATCATTGCAAATGCAGTTTTTCTTATTCCAGGATTAGGATTGTTACGCATACCATAAATACTACCACGCAGTTTGCCTTTTGATTAATCTTTGGAGAAACTCTAACATTATATAATAATGTCCTTGGGAAAAGAACAAAGAAATCCATCTTACCAAAATAACTACTATAATAGGTATCAAACAGAAAGCTCAATGCAAATCATTCGTAGCTATTTCATCAGATGAAGAGCTTTAAATGTTTGGTATCAATGTTTTTCCATAAAATATAGCATGTACATAACCATTTTGCTAGATAACAATCTTATGATGTTTGAGTTGTAAAATTTGTCAATGTTATAGATAGAAGTTTATGACTTAACCTCAAACCAATCAGAAAGATGCTTCTTTTGACTTTCAATTGTGAAACAAGAAACTTATAAATAAGCTAGACCCACACATAGTGAGGAAGAAACAGTAGTCGTAAGAAGCAAAATATTGACAATCATCTAAAGATTTGATTTCCTTCTCAAGAAGTGTCTTGCCAGAGGAGTAGATTGGGATAAGAAGTGAAGTTATTAGGTAGATCCACTATTTAAAACATATGTCTATTAGCCTAATCACGGATAAAAATCTAAGCATGACACATGTAAATTTCATTGAAAAAATTGACTAGCAAACTTACGATGATAATTTATGATCAGTTTGTTTTTGCAAAAAGAATCTTGATTTTTTTTTTTTTAAAATTTAACTACCTGGGCAGCGGCAGAACTCGATGATGCAGCTGTGGCAGCATTAAGGGCATCAGCTAACTGTAGTTCTTTTTCTTCAACCTGTCTCTTGGCACTTTCTCTTGTCTCCTGACATTCCAGCTTTAGCAACTGCACCAGGTCAAGCTTTTCTTGCAAATCTTTCTTCGCCTTTATCCATTCGTCCTAAACATAAAATGTTACAAATTAATGGTCAATTAGATACTTCAGTCCATCCTAAAATATTCCTTTATGAGCACTTAATATATTATTATAACTGCTCTATCGATAACAAAAATCATTAGGTGAGGAGGCAAATCTTAAAGCCAAATATGAAGAAACATTAATTTTGACTTAGCTTTAAGAGCAGCACAAAAACAAAAGCAATCTATTATCATCCAGCCCGGTTAGTGATAATATTTTCACAATTTCAGAGTTTAAAATTCAATGTAAATGAGTTCGTAATGTCAATTTGTCTAAAATATTATCAACACACACACCACATATATAATAATTTTTTTTTTTTGGGGTTTTTTGGGGGGGGGGGGGGGAAGGGAGGGGTTGTGGGGAGAGTCAGTACCTGAGCAATGTCAGCATCATTTCGAGCATGCTCAGCTTCTTTTCGAGCATCCTCGAATTCTTCAGTTATCTCTTCAACTTGTCTCATGGCAATTTGTCTTGTCTCCTGGATTTCCAGCTTCAGCAGTTTGACAATTTCGTCCTTTTCCCTCAACTCTCTCTTCACCTTGGCCCATTCATTCTGCATATAGAAGTAACCAATTAAGACACATCCTAAACAATACATTAAGTATACACAACTTTTTGTGCAATTGCACGATGTCAATATATAGTCATTTGAAGACATAATTCCGTTACAAGTAGCATTAAAATACTAGGTAACATGTAACGTTACTCTTGGAAATCCTAGAATAAGGAACTGTACAAAAACTAACAATTTCTTATCATTCATCACTATAACTAATAATATTTTCACCATTTTAGAATTACAAGAATGAATCCTATCTTTTGTTATCCCATTGATAAGGCTCCATATAAGTCCGTTCATATAGTTAATTGGTCTAGAGTATGATGCGGGGAAACCAACAGAATTAGTACCTCTGCAATGTCGGCATCATTTCGAGCATAGGTTAATTCTTGATCCATCTTTTCAATTTGTCTATTGGCCAGTTCTGCCTCATCATCTTTCTCACGTATAAGCCTTTGGACAGTTTTTCGTTCTTCCGTCAGCATTCTTTTAAGTTTAGCACATTCACCCTGTAAAATAAACTAAACCTTTAACAGAACTGAAATGGAGTGATACCTTTGAAGTGTCAAATTCAACTTCAACGGACAAATCGGAAAACAAGTTACAAATAAATAAGGGTTAGGCATATCTAGCACCCTAACATATTTTTTCCAGATACATCCAATACCCCTAAAATATTTGTGGTACATCTAACATCATAAAGTATTTTTTCAGGTGTGTTCACCAATCTAAATTATATTTTGGTACATCCAACACCCTAAAGTATTTTCTCAGGGCATTGAACACCTCAAATTGTTTTTCAATGCATCAGCATCCTAAATTGCTAAATGTAAAATTATACTTAAAAATACTTTGGGGCATTAAATACATTTGCAAAATACTTCTTCTTTTTAATTAACTATCGACATTTGACAGGGGCAAAGGTATGCTTTTAAATTGTAGAAGGATCAAAGTTACCACTGCAGGTGATAACGTTTTTATTTGCTGATAAATCAGTATCAGAAATGGAGAAGAAATTCATCTGCAGAATAAAAGAAGTACAAATATACTTCTTCTAGTTTTTAAGTATGTCTTCTATTGTGATTTTTTTTTAAAAAAAGTACTTTTTAAAACAAATAAGTATCAATCAAACATTATCAGCTTCTTGATGATTCAGTTTTGTAAATACTCACTAAAAAAATGTTCTCAAGAACAATTATCTAGAATAAGATAGACGTAACTAAAACCGACCTCAGCGATCGCAGTAGCATTAACGGCATTGGCTAACTCTAGCGCCTTGTCTCCATCTTGCCTACTGGCCCTTTCTGTCATGTCTTGACATTGCAACTCCAGCCGTTTGACATGCTCTTCCATATTGTTCAAATCTCTCTTCACCTTAGTCCATTCATTCTGAATACAAAAACATCCAATTAATAGCCATTAAAGTGCTTCAATCAACCCGAAACTGTTATTACACATAATATTTTAAAATTGCTCACATCAAAATGTATAGTCATTTGAAAAATCAAATGACAGATAAAAGCATAGATTAAGAAGCCGTGCACAAACTGAATTTCCATCATTCAGACTCTTCTATTTTGCTATCAAATTGATTACAATTGCATGAAAGTTTGTTCATATTGTAAATTAATCCAAAATATGGTAGATAAATACTACCTCTGGTCCTTAGTATAAGATCTTGTTTGACTTTTACTTTGATCCTAAATATAAGACCTCAATACACTTTGTCTCTTATATTTATGTGTATTTTTTTTCAAGGTAATCATTCCAACAATAGTAATCTAGCCAATGCACTTGATTAATAAAGATATTTTAGGAAAGATACCACCCATTTATTACAAATAACTAATTTAACTTCTTTTCTTAGTCTCCTTAAATAAGTCAACTAGCTCCTAAATATAAGACCTTAATCCACTTTGTCTCTTATATTTATGTACTCCTCCGTCCTTATTATAAGACCCCAATTTGACTTTTTATTTGGTCCTAATTATAAGACCCAATTCATTTTCTCTTTTATATTTATGCATTTTTTTCCAAGATAATCCTTCTAATAATTATAGTTTTAGCCAATATACTTAATTAGCAAGGATATTTAGGAATAACAACATTTATTTATTATAAATAACCAACTTAACTTACTTCCTTAATCTTCTCAAATAAGTCAATTGGGTCTTATAATTAGGACCGGAGGAGTATTTTTTTTCTTCAAGGTAATCATTCCAACAATAGTAATCTAGCCAATGCACTTGATTAATAAGGATATATTTAGGAAAGATACCACCCATTTATTACAAATAACTAATTTAACTTCTTTTCTTAGTCTCCTTAAATAAATCAACTAGCTCTTATAATTAGGACCAGATAGGTAGTATTATAGAATTAAGCGAGAAAATACGAACATAGTCAGTACCTCAGCGGCATCAGCATCTTTCCGAGCTAACTCGGCATCTTTTCGAGTTTGGGCTAATTCTTGATCAATCTCTTCAATTTGCCTCTTGGCTAGCTGCGCCTCATCATCTTTCTCGAGTCTAAGCCTTTGTACAAGTTTTTGCTCTATTTCCAGCATTCTCTTCAGTTTAGCACATTCACGCTGTAAGATGAGATATGAATTAATAACAGCATGGAAGTGATCCAGTTAAACTGTCATACCAAACCCAAATGGGAAAAACAAAATTAGATAAATAATTATACAAATTTCTTCACCAGTTACAAACATGCGGCAACTGACATGAGTAACATCACTTCCATATGTTTACAAATTTTACTGTATTTTTAAAAAAACAAAACAAACATAAAAATCATATTTTCAAATGTTGCCTCAATCTGTAAAGTCACTAGCCGCATAATTATACCATGTTTCACTTAAGAAAGAAAGATAAGAATAAGGACCGATAATTCGTTTTTCTAAATTTTTCTGTATATTTGATAATTACATATATTTGCTTTAAAATGATGGAAGGATGTAATTTCCCACTGAACGAGGGAAGCATAAGTAAGTGACGTGGAATGGGAAGGGAAAAGGGCAAGAGAGAGACTCAAGGATGAGAGTAAAATTCAAGAGCAACGGCATATTCAATTTCAATTTAATAATCAAAGCTAAATATAAGTGGGGAACCCTAGGGTTTTTTATATCTAGGAATAATAAATTAATAATAATCCTAATATTCAAATACCTAATAAGATAAATCTCAATATCTTAAATAAGCCTTAATTAACCATCATCCCATATTTCATCATTTCTCCCTACCTGAAGAACTTGTCAAGTGACGCATATTTGATTTCTCACTTTATTTATTAATTTATTATTTTTATACTGAATAATCATGTAAAATATATTATATATTTATATCTACAATTTTTTGGATTAGTTTAATTACACAACTTTGTGAAAATATAAAAAACATTTGAATTTAGTATATAAAAATTTGTAATTTAATTTGAAAAATTAAAGAAATGAAAATGTTAAAGTTAATTTCAAAATATTTCTAAAATAAATATTGATAAGATGGGTCGGCGGCCGGACACTAGTTTGCAAAATGCCGACCTGCCTTGAGGCGGGCTAGAGACAAGGCCCAACTTGCAGCGAGTTGGCTGTACCACCTATATGATCCTCAGCCCTAGAATGCTTGTGGCGGAAGAAGAGAAGCGAAGAAACAGCTTAAAGCGTTGAAAAATAGCTGGAAAACGCAAAGGGGTTGTCTGCATGTGAGGCCGTGTGGTGGTCGTTGGCCATGAAACTTTGGGAGCTGGCCGCGTTCTTGCCAATGGGGACATGGGGGCGGCGGTGCGACTATCTAATGTTGGGACAATGGATGAACAGGCTCTGGCAGTGATGCTTGCTGTGGAGCCTTTTGAGTTTAGGGATGATTGGCTATTTTGAAAAGCTCAAGCTCACAGAAGGAGTGGGAACACTACTGGAAACTGATACTGATACTGATTGATGAGAAACAGGAAAGAAAGGAAGAGAGAGAAAGAGAGGGACTCAAGGAGAAGAAACAGAGTACAAAAATTCAAGAGGAAAGGCAAATTCAATTTCAATTCATAATCAAAGCTGAATACGTCCAATTAAAAAATTGACCAAATGTTGATATTTGATGAAAAATCCAGTTCCTTATTTGTTGAAACTTTGGAAATATAGCAACAAAATCATTTGAAGTTTCTGCGGATTAAGATGACATGAAATATTAAAAGGTGTAGACAAACTCAGACGTATGTAAATGAACACAGAAGAAACAAGAATACCCCGCACATTTCAGTAGAAGCATGAAGGGCTTGGCTAGGTCTCGTCTCGTTCCTTCTCTTCAACTTGCCTCATGGCATTTGTCTTATCTCATCACATTCCAGCTTTAGCGATTGACAAAGCTCTTTCTCCTCCTGCAACTCTTTCTTTGCCCTTAATCCATTCACTCTAAACATAAAATTATTTATTAATAATACCATTTAAAGAGCTTCAATACACCTAACACTATAATCTATTCTTAAAAAAAAAAATACATTATTGTAATTGCTCCTCGTTAATATGTCGAACCATTTAGAAAGGAGAGTCAGTTATTAGCAGAATCAAGTGCAAGTGACAGGCGTCACTAATAGTGCTAGTCTGATGAATATGAGAGCACAGCAAAGAAAAGGAAAAAACAGGGAAAGGAAGAGAGTATAAAAGAACTTTCATATAGATACAGACAAAAAACTGGTGATAGATAGAGAGAAAAGTGAAAATAAAGCAGAAAGCTAATTACCATGACCTAACCAACCAGCACAATGACAAAAAGTAATTATTAATAATAACCTCATTCTAGGACACCACACCTGACCTACCAGCAGATAGTCCCAATTACATTCTTCATATTTTCTTGCCATGAGAGAGCTGACACTTTTCCCATCATATATCATATCTTTCCCCCATGTAAATCGACATTGTCTATTGGCTAGAGGAAGACCTTGTCATCCCTGTTGGGCCTGTTGGGTAGTACTCAACAAATTACAAGAAAACACATGCATGACCCATTCTTCCTTCCCGGACAAAGTTCCTTCCAACTGGGGCCTAAAGAAACAAGTGAAGACCTTCAACAGGAAAAACCAAGTCACTTAACTTCAACTTGCCATATTAGCAATTAATGAATTAAATACCATCTGATAAGGAGGAAAGCACACAGTAGAGAACAGAAATGTCTTCCAACAAATAGCTGCTATGAGCGAAAGGTCATCCTTTGTTTTTCTGTTCGGTATCTTTTCTGTCTAATATTAGGCTTCTTCTCTCTTTTCTTCTGCCATATCTTCAGGGGAACCCTGGCTTCATATATTTTCCCCTTTAATCTCTTCTCTGCATCCCTCTTTCTCTATTCTCTTTTGCTCTGTAATTTCTTCTATTAGCTCTTGGATTTCAAGCAAAGCATTGGATGTCTTGCAAAAAAAGCCCCCCGGGGGGGGGGGGGTGGGTGGCACACCTTATTACCAGACCAGTTCAATTCATCGACGATCCGGAGTAAAAAATAAACATCCCCCCAAAATTTCAGACCCATGAGAACTGACAATTGAAACATCTTGTAGCAGAATAATTATTATAATTGCAGAAAAATTGCCTTAATGTTCTACAACTCTGACTCAGTCTGATTCATGCAGATACTCATTTGACTGGTCCTACTGTTGATGGACCCCCAATCTTTGTTGCTTTTGTCCAGACAATTGATGATAAGAGAGTGATGTTCTTCACCTTACACCAAAAACGGTAAAACAATGATGTTCGTATGTTGGCAGCAACACTGGAAATTTAATGGTTTGAGTCGCATTGCAAGGACAATGTACTTAAGAGATATTCCACAACCCCTCGGTAGTTCAAGAAGCAGCACTCTCCAGAATTAAACAAACTTCTTGTAAAAGAGCAAGGTGACAGAACAGCAAAAGTTGGAAGAACGTAGGAAAACATTTTCAGAGGAGGGAGAAGGATGGCAATCACTTGTGTGGTTGACACTTCCGCAAACACTCTTTTCATCGGCACCGAAAGGACACACTGAACAAACACAGATTTCGGATGGCCAAGAGGCACGCTAAAAAAGGCGACCAGGGGGTGTAATGCCAAAGAGGACAAAAATAATCCAGTAAATGATGCCCAATCTGAATCTAACTCTCACACAGAGGGGAGATCACTAGTTTTCAACTGCTTTTCCCTCCCGGCAGCCCGTTGTTAAGTGCGAGGCACACCTTCCTCTTGGCCCATTTACTTTCCCATGGTTACTTGGTTTCATATATGTACTTGGTTCTCCTCTCTACAAACCAGCGGGGGACTTTGTCACGCCTTCACATACTACAATGCACGACATCATATCCCCCCTTAAGAGCTACAGGTCCTTTCTCATGGGAAAATGGCACACCGAGAGAAAGGTGACTTTCACGACAAACTTTTGCAACCTTAAACCTCATCCTAACCAAACAAAATCACACTGTCCACGGTCTTTATTCGACGAAGTTCCTATCCGTAGAATCAAATCATAATTCCTACTTCCTATCGTATAGCTATTATGCACAAATAGAAATTTTTCGTCATTCAAATCGGTAGTAAAATGGTTTTCTAAAGCACACAAAATCCGGTATTATGCCTTTCAAAATGATCACAACTCCTTGTAAATAAACTGTGACACTTTGTTTATTTGTCTGAAAAACGACAGGCAAGTATTTTAATATAAATGAAAAAAGATATCAAAACGAGTCAAACCTCAGCAACATCGGCTCTAGTAGCAGCACATTCAGCATTTTTTCGAGCATCATCTAATTCTAGACCTATCTCTTCTATTTGTCTCTTGGCCACTTGAGCCTCGTCATCTTTTTCAAGGGTAAGCCTTTGGACAAGTTTTCGCTCTTCTTCCAGCAATGTCCTCAGTTTATCACATTCGCTCTGTAAAATTAGCTATGAGTTCAACATACCAAAAATGGAGTGGTGAAAAAGGTATCACATTCAAATCGAATGGGAAAACATTTCAATCATCAACAAATAACAATCTGTATATACATTCACAGCTTACAAACATAGAACGAACTAATATTAGAGTAACATCACCTTCATCTTTCCATGAACTTTGTCAAAGCGAAATTTATCCCTCCCAATATGACTAAAGCCAGCTTAAAAATCAACTTATTTACAAATGCAGCACATCACCCTTTATAAAATCCCATGCAACATAATTACATCATAGTTAGCCTAACTATGAGTGAAAAAAATAAATAAGCATGCGTTCATTTATTTATTTTTTCTGTTTGTCTTTACTAATGCAGACATCTGCTTTTGATTCACAGATGGATTACAGACAGAACACCGGAAAAAGAAAAAAAAACACAATCAACAACATAAACACATGAAACACAAATTAAAGCCAACCATATACTTATTTCAAGTATGCACTTTTTAATGACTTAACAGGAAAAAAGTGCTTCTCAAAATAATTGACCAAATGTTAATCTTTGATGGCGTAACACATGTTAGAAAATGATAATATTTTCTTTTTAAAAAAAGAAACAAATGAATATTGACTATCCCTCTATCTTGCCTAGATTGCAAAAACCCCCCTTCTATTTTGAAAACGCATATAAACTTCTCTT